TGTGCGAGTGTGAATCTCCAGGACGCTTGCACACCCCTTGGACCCTCTGATCAAGCTAATTTGTAGCGACGTCTGGAGGTCAAGGGAAGCCTTGGTGTCATGCTCCTCATGAACACCCTCATCATCATACTGTGCGCATTCACACTCATCATCGTATGGTGCGCATCCACACTCATCATCTCTAGGGGAAGTATCCCTATGTTTATGGACATACAATATGCATGAGGTTTCTCTAACTTCCATCTTATCATCTCTTCTTACACAACCCTCTAGTTTCATCTCTTTGTTACATTAGGTAACACATACTCGTGAATATTTATATTAATATCATTTTCATCGTTTAAGGTTGTGTCCTATGTCGATCTAACGACATGATGCAATATGACACTCATCATCATATAACATGCTCAATATGGAAAACATCATCATATTAAGGTAAACGTCATGCAATCATCATACAGTGCATCAAGCATATCAAGTACGTCATTCATCGAAATATATATACTACGCACATCATCAAGTATCATAACTCATGCATCATCATAACTCATACATCATCATAACTCATACATCATCATGAGAGTATGTTTGTTAAGTTCAAGAATTCTGTGAAACTTGAATTTAAAATGATTAATTTGGAAAAAATGAAATATTTTCCAGATGTAGAGATTTACAAAATTCTGAACGCATTTATATTAGTGCAGAGAAGTATGCAAAAGAAGTTTTGGAGAAGTTTATGATGGAAAAAAATAATAGCGTGAAAAATCCTATTGTTCGTGGAGTTAGACTGACAAACGATGAAGAAGGAGCCTAAGTCAATGCTACCATGTATAACAATTGATTGGAAGCCTTATGTATCTAAGTGCAACAAAGCCGGATTTAATGTATATAGTATTTCTCATTAGTATATTTATGACAAGTTCAGTTGCATTTGCAAGCTACAAAAAGGGTGTTGAGATACTTAAAAGGTACCGCAGATTTAGGAGTCTATCATTGAAAAAGGGGTAACAGAGAGTTGATAACATATACTGATAGTGATTATATAGGAGATTTAGATGACAAGAAAATCACTTCTAGGTTTTACTCAGTGATGGAGCTCTGTCTTGGTCCTCCAGAAAATAACCTGTAATTACTTTGTCTACTACTGAAGCAGAGTGTGGCTGGTGTCACAACCTTACTATGAAGAGAGTAGGTTGTGACCCTCACGCCATGACAAGCAAAGGGGCGTCCCTCAAGAGACGCCCATCCGGCCATACGCGGGCCAACGTAGAAGAATGCCATGATGCGATCGAGGAGGACGATGCATCATCCAACACAGCACCACGCAAAGTGGGCATTGAAGACATGTTGAGACACAAGCATAACAGAGACATCAGCATAGACATGAAGGACAAGATAGGCTTGTTGAAGGGCCGGGTAGGGCCCCGGGCCTTAACCTCAAAAGTCGAGGTTTCGGAAGGAATTTGGTCATGTGGTTCGGGAGTTAAGTCCGTCCATATGAAATATGAATGCTCGCCAAGTTTGGTGTCAATCGGACATTGGACGAACAATGCACGATACCGTATGACACCTCACGAAAATCATGTCTACTCCTGGTAGAATGAAAATGGCTCAAAATGTACTATAGGGGTACCATGGTGTTGGCTCTCCACCACCCCTGGGCCCTGTGGCCTAAGTGAGCTACCCCTGTGGCACATACGTGTGTCACAGTGTGGGCGAGCGTGCCGAGACGAGTGTCTCGGGCGACTTCCTTTGAAATGGGTTTTTGAAGGACAGTACCGGACGGCACGGGTGTGCCGGTATTGCGCCCTAACCCGCGTGTTGGAGGTTGCTACATACACCCGCTATCCGGTACGGTATCCGTAAATGACTCGGCATGGGCACGGGAGGGCCTATGCCTCTATAGAACCTGGATGGATGGATGTTCGGGAAGCCCCGATGAGATGAACGACACGCGGGCCCATTCTCGATGGCACGACCGAATGAGTTATGATGGCCGACGACATCCCGAGACTCGGGATGGCGTCAAGACATATGGACCCCTTCGATGGGGATCGAGATGGCAAGACGAGATGCGATGTTGTATTGAGAGACCTTGGCCCGAATAGAGGCAAGGTCGAACTGAATGAGTTGGCCTAGCGTAGAGGCAAGTCGGATGTGTCGCAGACGATTAAACATACACGCACAGGCGGCGTGTGTGGTTGGACAAGCTTGGATTCCGCACAAGCGATGTTCGATCGGCGAAGACAAACCTCGCCTAAGGTCCGACGGAGCCACAAAGCCGGGGCGAAAAATATATATAGGGCTTAATTCCCCTTAAGGCTAGTCGTGAGCGTGTATAGATCACGACGCCGCACGGTCAAGAATGTAGGACCGTGACAGTTGGCACCTTTTGTGCTTGTCAAGAGGTGTGGATGATGAGAGTTTTGAAAAAATTTAGTCATTTTCAAGACAAGTGTATCGCTATGTTAGTGATAACAATTCCACCATTGAGCTATCCAAGTATTCAATCATGCATGGACGGAACAAACACATTGATGTGAGGTTCCATTTCTTGCGTGATTTGACTAGAGATGGAGTTATCGAGTTGAAGCATTGTGTCACATAAGAAAAGATTCTAGATATTATGACAAAAACAATGAAACACGAGTAAACAGAAAGTATTTCTACGATCAATTTAGAGGAGAAATAGTTAAAGATGGTCATATTATACCATTTCTTTATGGAAATGGTTAGGTGAGACAATTTCTTGAAATTTGGAGTTAAATTATGTAATTTTTTTTTTCAATTTTTAAGACTAATTTTGCGTTTACTGAGTTCAAGGCTATTTTTCCAAATTTCAATTTTAGGGCTATTTTTCCATTTTTTAAAAAAAAAACTATCTTTGACTTTTCCCTCTACCACCCTTTTAAATTCTCAATCCTATGAAAATAAAATTGCTTCATTTATCCACTAATAAATTCATTACATTTCAAATATTATATTTTATATACTAATCTTATAAAGAGTCAATGTACGGTCGACGACGCCCGCCGAAAAGACTATAGAAATGAAATTATTTATAGATAATTTTTCACATTTTAGTAATTATTCCGCAACAAAATTCCATATATTTGTTATTATTAAAAACTAAATATTAATAAACAAATTAACCCTTTAAATTAATGGTTAATAAAAAGACTTTATAAGTTAATAAATTTTTTTTAAAAAAAACATAAATGTGTAAAAAGGTTCCCTAACATCTTCATTTAAAAATAAAAAATATTTTCTAATTTTCTAATTTTTTTTTTAAAATTCATCAGAGCACCACATTAATTTTTAGAAAAAATAAAAATATTGCCTTTCCTTTTCCTTGATATTTTATGAACATAAAATGTGAATAATATTAATAAGCAGTAAAGGACAAGCATGTGGGGACACTGACAGGTGTCGGGCATGGAATCTTTCTCATAAAAAAAAATAAAGAAAAAGATAATGGAATTGGAAGAAGCCCAAAAAGCTACCTCTTTTTGTATTTCCCTTTTTTTTCTTTTTTTTTTTCAAATTAATAAATTATTAATTTGGCAATATATCCAACCCTTATATTTTTAATTAATATATATATATATATATATATAATATAATATAATATAATCCATTTAATTCTACATGCATGTGTTTGCATGATCATGGTATTTTCACGCATGTTTTCATGTTAATATCTATATTTAATAATACGAAATAATGCGTCTTAATCATGTCACACAGATTTAATGATGGAGGACAAAATCCGCGTTTAGATTTAAGAAGATTTTATTGTATTTTTTAAGTATGGTATAACCGTAGTATAACGTTTATTTTTAAGACTATAAATAATAAAATATTAAAATGAAAGTTTGTTCTTTGCATTTCTTTCTACCGTCATTCAAGTAGTTTTGTTCAAACTATCTTATAGAGTGATTCGAATCATAAGAATAGAAACAAATTTTTTTTACTCTTGATCTCGATCATGAAGGTAATTTGTTTCAAAACTTTGTTTTTGATTGATTTATTATCGTTTTTGGGTTCCGAGATAATTTAAATCTAAAAAGATTTTTAAATCAAATATAGGAGCTCGTTACGAAGGGTCTCGGGGAGATTTTGACTAAATGAATAGAGATAAATTTCTCGATATTTTGATTGAAGAAGAGAATCCAAAATGAACCACTTCTTCATTCGGATTTATTTCCATAGCTACACTCTTTAATAACGCTAACCGTTGTTATCAATTTAACGTTCAAATCTTTTTCAAAAATAGCAACTTAATCATTAGAGTTGTAATTTATTGGTCAATACTATACTCGTACTCCTAAATCTCTTAAAATTACGTAACTTGTTACCATTTTTTCATATGAACACTAAACTTGATATCTGACGTATCTTTGTGCATGACCTCCACTTTGAAAAGGGAGAAACCTGCCATTATTTCGTATGAATTTCATTATTATGTCATTACTTCCCGTGCTTTTACAGATTCTATCCTTTTAAGCTAGAGCTCAAATTGTGTGTACGAGTTGACATTATTAACATTTTTATATAGTAACAAGTTATCTTTATTAATTATCATTAATATATCATTTTTATAACGGATGTGATCACATTATACTTAAAAATATGTTAACAAATTAATAATTCGACAATTTTTAATTATATTTATTATGATTTTCCTCGAACGGTGGTGTATATATATATATATATATATATGAAATACAATTAAAAAAATTAATTACAATTTATAGAATTTAAATTAAAATATTAATTATTTTATTAGGAGAAAATTTGAATTTAATATTGAATGTGAATGTATGAAAGAAGGCAGCAATGTGAAATGAAATTAAGAGTTTAATTCGTGCAAGGGGAGGAGGAAATTAACCAATTAAATATTAATTTTTTAATTAAATAAATTAGAAATTTTATTGTTTTAAGAAATCAGTAAAATAAATAATTCAAATAAATGCTGTCCGGGTGCGGCTGCACCGTCCCTCCAACAGACCACGAGCGAGAGGCAGCTTTCCACTGCGAATTCCTATAAAACGCGTAGTTTTATGAAATACAACTCCCCATTTTCTCGCCGGCGATCCTTCTCTCTGCTGATTCACGGCTGTGCCGGAGGTGGACGCGGCGGCACAGCGGTGTTTTGTCGGTTTGGCCTTATCTTTTTACTCCTTCATGGCTAACTTCCACCGTCTCTTCCGAGTTCTGTTGCTGCTTTTCACTCTTTCTGGTTCGCTTTCTGGATCTTTTTGCTTGGCTGCTTAAGAACTTGTGTTAATGCTTTGGAACTTGTTTTTTTTTTTTTTCGTTTTCATTGCGTAATTAGGGAAAGAACATTGAATTTTTCGTTATTGGAGTTGTGAATATGTTATTGAATGTGATTCTGTGTTTGTTTCTTTAATTTAGTTAGTTGTAGACGACTGTGATTCTTTCTGGTTTCCTTTTTTTGTTCTTTCGGTTCTTCCTCTGGATTTTTGCCGATTAGTTCTAGGAAGTTCCATTTCGTAGCATATTCTCTGTCTTTTAGGACTTTCTCCTTCAGAGAATATTTGTGAAATTGAGATGATCTAATAGTTCTCAATTTTTCGATTAGGAATTTGAATTGATTTGAACTCGCTGAGATTCATTTCTCTTGTGGTACAATTTGGATTCTGAACACTCTGGCTCTGCTTTAATTCGGCGTGTGTTTCATTTCAGATTCAGTAATCCGAACTCTGAGCGTTGGAATTGGAATAAACTATGGCCAAATCGCTAATAATCTACCGTCTCCATCGCGCGTCGTCACTCTTCTCCAAAGTCTAAACATCAGCAGGGTAAAACTGTACGATGCAGATCCTAATGTCCTGTATGCCTTCTCCAGTAGTAATGTGAATTTCATTATAGGACTTGGTAATGAATATCTCCAGAACATGACCGATCCTCAGAAAGCCCTAGCTTGGGTTCAACAGCATGTTCAAACACACATCAGTCAGACTCAAATCACTTGCATCACTGTTGGCAATGAAGTTTTCGTTTCTAATGATTCTCAATTAAGGTCTAATCTTCTTCCTGCAATGCAATCTGTTCATAATGCTCTTGTTAATCTTGGGCTGGATAAGCAGGTTTCTGTCACCACGGCTCATTCCCTTAACATCTTAGCCAACTCTTTCCCTCCATCAGCAGGGTCATTCAGGCCAGATCTCACTGAATACTTACAACCAATACTCAATTTCCACTCAATGGCGAAATCTCCTTTCCTTATAAACGCATATCCTTTTTTTGCATACAAGGATAACCCTGGCCAAGTTCCCCTAGAGTATGTGCTTTTCCAGCCTAACCAAGGGATGACTGATCCCATCACAAATTTGCACTACGACAATATGCTGTATGCTCAAATCGATGCAGTTTATGCCGCCATCAAAGCATTGGGGCATACAGATATTCAAGTCCAGATTTCCGAAACCGGTTGGCCATCTCGGGGTGATCTGAACGAGGTTGGTGCTACACCAGAGAACGCTGGGTTGTATAATGGCAATTTGCTAAGAAGAATACAGAGTGGACAAGGAACCCCGGCAAAACCATCAATTCCTATCGATATCTATGTTTTTGCTCTATTCAATGAGAATTTGAAGCCTGGTCCAGCATCTGAGAGAAACTATGGCCTTTATTATCCTGATGGCACACCAGTTTACAACATTGGATTGCAGGGGTATCTCCCAGAGCTGTTGTATTCATCATCCAAAAGAAATGTAAGAGCCAGTCATTATGTTTCGAAGTTCCTATTGTTGTTTCTACATTCTTGTTCAAAAATCTAACTCGTAAATAATTGATTTTCAGGTTTTCTCAGTTTTCAGCTTGCTTCTGATATTCATAGCCAGCTTTATCTACAGTTAAGATCTTCACCATCAATTATGAAACAGTAGAGGTATACCAGAAATAGATAGAAATTCTTATTCATAGCCTGAAGAGTTTTATAGAGAAGCCGCGCATAAAGTCCCCTTCAGATGCTGCATTTAACTAACCATCTGTATTATATATTTACTTTCTATTTCATCATCAATTTGGTTCATTTGAAAATTATTTTTGTAGTTTCACACAGCAATAAAGTATTATTATTTCATTAAAAAGCTTCCTAAATATTGAGCTCCAAAAGAGCAGTTTCCTTTTTTTTCTTTTTCTTCTCTTTGCAGCTCCATTTCAGTGTTGGAGGACTACATAGATCCTAAACATGATACCAACTTGGTAACTTGATACCATGTGAGGAATAACGACTCTCCACAATGGTAAAAAGCTTTTTGGGGAAGCCCAGAACAAAGCTACGAGAGCTTATGCTCAAAGTGGACAATATCATATATCATTGTGGGGAGACGGAAGGACTAATCTTGGAGACGGACCATCTGAAATCAGTAAGGTCTCTCTTCTCTTTCCTCCAATGGGATATCATGATAAATAATGGGTGTCTGCATCAGTCATGTCTCTCTCTTATTTTACATGCGAATCGGGGTTAGGTTACTGAAATCTCTTGTTGAAGCAGCCATGTATGAACATCATTTCATTTAAACTAAACACATATCTGAGCAGCCCAATTTGAAACTGATAAAAGTAGCCATCCGGGGAAGGTTTTGGATGGTGGACTTTTCTTTTCCCCCCTTCCTCTTTGCTTTGTCTTTATTGGTTATTTGAGCATTAGTTTCTGGGTTGGAGTAATCTCACACGCCTTTTCATCTTTGATATCTCCTTGTTGGCGGGGCCTACTGATTTTACCAGTTTATTTGATGGTGTTGAATCCCATGAGGGTCAGCTTCCTTGGGATGGCCCCTCTGTTTTCCTTGCCGATAAGTTTGATTGTTTGTTTTGAATGGTTTCGATAAGGCGGTGACTGTCTTTTTCAAAGGATGGTGTGGGAACGGAGTTGCGTGGCTTCCAAATAAAGGAATTGGGTATATTTTTGTTGATATTTATTCATGAAATATCACCATTGTCGACTGAAAATATTTTAATTTCTTCACAGATGTTGCAACATGATTCGAGACTTCGAATCTCTCGGACGGTCGTGGCTAAAAAAATAAAGATAAAAGCAAATAAAATGGTATGTAAAAATACGATAAAATTTGAATCAGATTAAAAATAAATGATAAATTCAAAACCAAATCGAATTACAAACCGGTGTTGTTCGAGTTTATTACAAGTGGGGAATGGGTTTGGGATACAATTGCAAACAAAATAGGCCCAAAATACAAATACTCAGATTGACGTCCCACGACAGCGTCTTCTATGACAGCGCGCTATTGAACATATAGTATCCTAGGTTAAGGTGCTACCTTATGAAATCTGTTAAGATAGTATGACATCTAGCTAGTTTGAACACCATCATCCATAGAACGTTAGTTAACAATCCTTCATAGGGCTATAGAGTCACTCTAAGTCTAGGGAGAGTGACCCCGTATGTCAGCCAACTATTAGGTTATCTTATGGTCCTACGTCCCACCTCAAGATAGGTTTACAACGTAGAGGTCCTGTTTAGGAGACCTCTAGCCATTCCCACACACGATACTACACTTGGTTGCCTCGACACGCTATACTATCCGACTTAGGCCTGACATGACAATACCTGTTGATATGTGGAAATCACTACAAGGGGAGTAAGATTCGGATTACCTTGTTGATCGAATATCTCAAGGCAAGAACATTGTTTGAGATTCGAATCACTCCACAAGCAAGATTGATCATGTCGAGCTTGAATGATTCTACATGCAACCTAAACTACATAGAATTGCAAAGAAACTTAGCCATTGGCTAAAGAAGAGCACAAATGTTCTTTTACTATATTTTCCCAAGTCTCCCTATACATACAACATACATGGCTTTATATAGCCTCAAAATGAAACTACTAAAGTCATTCCAAGAGTTGTAACATTCATATTAATGGCCATAATTAACCATTATGTAATTGTAACCTAAGTAAATTAAAAGTCTTAAAATACATTAATGAAATACAATAAATCTAAATTACTCTAAATTGTAATCCACTCAAAATTTATAAATGAAACTTTATAAATGAAACTTCATTCTTCTTCAACGTGACATGTATTGAAATATTTTTTTGATAATTTCAACAATATTTTCTTCACATCTTCATTGAAACATATTGTATGATTGATGTCTCTTGGTTCATATCACATGTACTACTTGGTGGGGTGCACGCTAAGGGTGTACTATAGGAGATAGGAGGTGGAAGACTCTAGTGATACAGTCACACTATTACTCACCTTGTTAAGCTTTCTTAGTCGTTTTTGACGCGGAAGTCTAGTAAGTTCTTAAGGGCATATAAGCAATCTAGATCCCATCTTATGTTTTTAGGATTGTCACAATCTTCAAGGTTTCAAAACTCGGACAAGGACTAAAATGACGAAGACCAAAACAGATAAAATAAAAGATAAAAGTAAAAATAAAAAATGGGGTAAAATTTAAATTGAAATAAACAAACGACACCTCAATTAAATAGAATACGAAATCCAATTACAAAATGATGTTGTTCAAATTTATTGCAGATGGAGAAGCGAGTTTGAGATACAATTATAAAACAAAATTCAAAAGATTTAGAATAAAAGACGAACTGGCGCACTAAAACGGCCCCTTTGTGACCGCACAACTCTCTAAAACTCCTCGCCTCGACCGACAACCTATGAATACCTGAAAAAACAAAAGGATAAAGAGGTGAATATAAAAATACTCACCAAGCAACCTACTTGTAGACTCTCATCGCATCCTTAACCTAGTAGGTATGTACAGATGTTACTTTAGGCTCTAAGAAGTTCAGGTTTAGTCTCTACTACTATCTGAACATTTAAGGTGCCTCAAAATTCCAAGCTCATCTCTTATCTGAATCTTACCCCCTAGGAGTCTATATAAATTTTACAACCTTTTTTCTTTTTTACTTGGGTAGTTTGTTCTACCTACATAATGAAAAATTAGCATCCTAGGTTGAGGCACTACCTTGTAAATTTTTTGTGGGGCAGTATGGTTATTGCTAACTTGCTATCAACCATGGAAGGTTAGCTGATATGAGCAAAGGAACATCATTCATACAATATACTTCAATAAAGATGTGAAGAAAATGTTGTCAAAATTATCAAAAGAGGTTGCAATTCATGTCACATTGAGGAGGAATGAAGTTTGATGGTTATAAATTTTGAGTGGGATACAATTTAGAGTAATTTAGAGTTATTGTATTTTAAGACATTTTATTTACTTTAGGTTACATTTACATAATGGCTAATTATGACCCTTAAGTATGAATGTTACCACTTTTGTAATGCCCTTTAGTAGTTTCATTTTGAGGCTATATAAAGCCATGTATGTTGGATTTGTAAGTAGACTTGGAAAATATAGTAGAAGGAGCATTTGTGCTTTCCTTAGCCAATGGCTAAGTTTATTTGCAACTCTATGTAGTTTAGGTTGCATGTAGAATCATTCAAGCTCGACATGATCAATCTTGCTTGTGGAGTGATTCGAATCTCAATCAAGTGTTCTTGTCTTGAGATATTTGATCAACAAGAATCATTGAAGCTAGACATGATCGATCTTGCTTCTGGAGTGATTCGAATCTCAAACAAAGTGTTCTTGGCTTGAGATACTCGATCAACAAGGTAATCCGAATCTTATTCCCCTTGTATTGATTCCTTATCTTATCATTAGCTCATGAACCTTTCTATGGAACCATAAGTTACCTTAGTTTGGGGGTGCGATCCTCGTGTGTCGGCCAGATAATGAATCAATCTTTGTGGTTCCACTCCTCCTCTCATGAAGGGTTCTTGTCTTGGAACTTCCACAAGGTTGGGTGAATAGTTATCTTGATACACTACCCTAACCGGCCTAAGCCTAGCTCGATAGTAACTGTATCAAAGTGGAAAAGGATAGTGAAGATTCTAATGACATCGTTAAATAACTAACAACTCGGAGAGCTATTAGCGGAGGTTTTGGTGACACCATGCATACTGCTAGCGGCTTGAAAAGCTACCTTTGTCATACTTGGGTGTCGTAGCAATCTACTAAATTCTTATGGGCGTGTAGACAGTTTAAATCTTATCTCGCGTTTCCAAGACACTAAGAGTTAGCTCCTCAAAGCTAATCTAATCTTTCAGTGCACTCAGGTCTAGACCTCTAATCGCAGTTCATGATCTTAGAGTGCATGGTCTATTGAAAAAGTAATTGACCTAGATCAATGTATAAACCACTCTAGTTGTAGCGTCCTAAAGCACAAAAGACACATATTCTAAATATGACGTTGGTCATCTCTAGGTAACAATGAGGTCTACTAGGTTTTTAAGGCAGTTAGGTGTCTTAATGCGGACTTCCAACTCCAAGGTACTCTAATCTAACTCCTCAATTCTGTTTTAGTCTGGGAGTACTAGGGTTTAGACCCTCTGACTGTCACTCACGGTCCTAAGGTGCTCAGTCAACTAGATCGTTCTGACCTAGGTCATCGTCTAACCAACCTAATTCTAACACTCTAGTTTTAGTTTTGTGCAAATAAACGTGCTCTACAGGGAGAACAAACAATCAATCACAGAATGCACATAAAACAACATATGTCTCTATCATGAATATTCCCTTCTATTATAGCATAGATTACAATATTTCATCTTTCCGTTATAGCGTTAGGGGCATTTTGGTCATTATCCACATCATGCATAATGTACTTTACCAACTTTTCTTACTTGAGTTCTATCATGTATATTCCCTTCCTAACTCGCCCGTAAATATAAAAGTCAGCATGCATCTCATAATCTCATTATAGGAGATTTCGATAATTTTCCTTAACACATATAGAACAATTCTACAAAAAAAATGCCCTTTTGACGTTCTAAACATGTAAAGAGTCGAGTTAGTTGGGTCAACAAGTCGATCGTTGGTTCGGGTTAGTTGTATGGTATTCAGGTTGCACGCAGATCTTGGGTCGGATATCTATCGAGTCAAGTCGATCCACGACATGCATCTCTGCCTAAAGTCGAAAGCGTTTTTATATACAATGCCCGACACATGTCATCCACTAGGCAAGACGTGCTCCATCGCCTGCCATTTGACACGTGTCACTAGTCTTCTTCTCCCTAAATATTTTTTTCTAGAAAATAGTGAATTTTCGATTCCATTTAAATTTCTATTT